CCCCTGTAGTTGGAACACACTCTACGGTCCCCCTTTTTGAATAGGGGGACCACCACCCCAGTCTGCCAATCCAGGGGAACTGCCTCCGATGTCCACGCAATATTGCAGAGTCATGTAAGCCAACACAACCCTGCAACATCCAGAGCCTTAAGGAGCTCGGGGCGAATCTCATCCACCCCTAGGGCCCTGCCACTGAGGAGCTTTTTAACCACCTCAGTGACCTCAGCACCAGAGATTGGAGGGCCGGACCTAAAGTCTCCAGGCTCCGCTTCCTCAGTGGAAGACGTGCCGGTGGGATTGAGGAGGTTTTCGAAGTATTCCAACATCCTCACCAATGAAAAAAAAACTTCCACACCACCAACATTTTGAATTTTCCTCTCCCCCGTGAGATCATGTAGGCGCACGTGACGTCATCACATTGTGCTGCCGCTGCAGGCATCCTTGTCACTGGATTGTCCTACAAAAACAGCGCCTTTTTTATTTTTTATCTGTGAGTTTTTTTGATGGAATGGCCTATGTCCGGTATTGAACTTTAATGCTAATATCGCCTGATACCATGCTGATAATATTGTGCATCCCTAAGTAAAATATTTTAAGCCTTTATTATTTGTAATTTTGATGATTGTGGCTTATAGATAATAAAAAACTAAAATTCTGTCTCAGAAAATCAGAATATTGTGATAAATTTCTATAGGAAAACTTGTGCACAGTATGCGCTATGTTCACAGATGAATCCTAGACATAAGCTACAAATGTCTCATTCCTCAAGTCCAGCCACTCCGGAACCTGAGACAACAGAAGCATCTTACCTGGCTGAGGAGACAAAGAACTGGTCTGCTGCTCAGTGGCAGGTCAAGAATCACATGTTGAGATAGAAATTATATCAAATGAAAACTATTCAATTTTAACAATTCATATAAAGAAGTGAGGTCATTTTGTCCTTCAGTAGTCTAAGCTTGACAGCATGACAAGTCAACCCTAACTATAGGATTTATCAAAAAGGAAAGTCTTAATCCCAGTCTTAAAAATGGACAATGTGTCAGCCTCATGGACAGAAACTGGAAGTTGGTTCCACAAGAGAGGAGCCTGATAACTGAAAGATCTTCCTCCTGTTCTGCTTTTGGGAACTCTAGGAACCACAAGTAAACCTGCAGTCTGAGAGCGAAGTGGTCTGTTTGGAAAATATGGAACAGTAAAATCAGTAATATAAGATGGAGCTAGGTTATTGAGGGCTTTGTAGGTTAGAAGTAAGATTTTAAATTCAATTCTAGATTTGACAGGGAGCCAATGGAGAGAAGTTAAAACTGGAGAGATATGATCTCTCCCACTAACTCCAGTTAAGACTCTGGCAGCAGCATTTTGGATCAACTGAAGACGTTTTAAAGAAGTACTGACACCCAGATAATGAACCATTGCAATAGTCCAGTCTAGATGTGACAAATGCATAAACCAATTTTTCTGCATCATTTTTTATATACGATGTTTCTAATTGTATTGATATTACGCAGGTGGAAGAAGGTGGTTTTAGTAACGTTTTTAATGTGGGGGGTAAAATACTTTGTACATGTCCTGATCAAAAATAACACCAAGATTTTTAACATTAGAGCTGGAAGCCAGATTAATGTCATCCAAGGAGGGCAAAAGACTGAAAAATGTATTCCTAAGATGCTCAGGTCCAAAAACTAAAACCTCAACCATTTAATTTGTATCTTTCCTGCTCCCTACAAGCTGCATTAGCTTCAGTCTTGACCCAATCTCTGGATAATTATCGCTGAGGTATCTTTTGCCCACAAGTACCGAAATGCCTTTTAAATCCAGAGAGCAGCATCATTTATTAAAAACAGAAAGATGCTTCTGTAAATATATTTCTGTCACTCTAATAATGTCGAACAAGATTTGTCTCCTTAGATTTAATTTCCTGTTAGCCTTACTCCTGCTGAAGAGGAAAAATCTGTGGATTAGGACACCCTCTGACCTCCTTCTCCTTCTTCATCTCCTCATTCATCTGTTGTATGACCCATTTAGCCTCTTTTTTTTTCCTGGCAGAAACACAAAGGTCACATTTGTTGGGAGGATGGGTACAAAAGTGCCACCTTGGTTTTATTGCACCTTTCCAGGAGCTCGAGGGGATTTCTTGTTTGCCTAACCTTGCAGTGACTTCCTTTAAAGATGCACCGTAGAGCTGGTGGTCGAGGATATAATTGTGAAGATGCCAAATTGCCTGCGTTGCATCCTGTAAAATCTGCAGTTAATGAGTTTGGAGATCAGATAGGATGCTGCTCAGATACTTAATGTGATGACAGGCTGTGAGCATCAGTGGGCAGAAGCCATTTCTGGAGCTTCTGAGGGATAAAATCAGTAGATAAAGTTAAAACCCTGATTCCTTGAACGGATGCATGTCACCTGCCACCTTTAGTGCTAGATTTTGAAGCTAAGGCTGAATGGGATTAACCTGTCTAAATAAAGCTGAATGAAAAAAATGAGCTGCTTTTGTCAAACCTCGAAAGGACCAATGTGCATGCAACATGTCATGCTCAGTGTTTGTGTCATAAATGACTCTCAGCTACCACCACAGCAAATTTTAGTTTGTTTAGTTTATATATATATATATATATATACAGTGAACCCTCGCTATAACGCGGTTCACCTTTCACGGTCTCGCTGCTTCAAGGATTTGCATTGTGTTCTGCATTCTGATTGGCTAAACAGTCTCTCCAGTACAGTATTTATTTGTAAAAAACGTTTATACAGTACTTTTATTTGTTAAACAAATGCTTGGGCCTGTAAAAAGGTTTTGTTCTTTGGTTTGAATGTATTATGGAGTATTTCATTGTATAATAATTGTAAAAAAAAATAAAGGTTACTACTTCACGGATTTCGCCTATCACGGGTTCTTTTTGGAACGTAACCCCAGTGAAAAACGAGGGTTCACTGTACAGTGTATGTATATGTTTATATATACAGTATATATAAGTATATATCGATCAAAAACAATATTGTGTTAGTATTTTTGTTGATTTAAAAAAAGCATTCGATACTATTGACCACACTATTCTCCTTGAAAAATTAAATAAATATGGTATAAGAGGACCAGCATTACACTGGGTATCTAGTTATTTGAAAGATAGGAAACAGTTTGTACAAATAAGTGGTGTAAGATCTGACCTGTGCAATATCACGTGTGAAGTTCCTCAAGGCTCTGTACTTGGACCAAAGTTATTTATTTTATATGTGAATGACTTAGTGAATGTATCAGGACTCCTCAAATGTGTCCTTTTTGCAGATGACACCACATTTTTTTGTTTGGGTAAAGATGTAAAACGGATGTTGGAATTGATGAAGACAGAATTTGATAAAATACAAACTTGGTTTAAACTTAATAAATTATCATTAAATGTAGATAAAACTAATTACATGATATTTAGTAACAAAAAGAGAACTGTTGATGATCCATTTAAAATTGAGGGTGTTGAGATTTGTAGAGTTAATGAGATGAAATTTTTGGGTGTAATCATTGATGAACAGCTAACATGGAAAAATCACATAAATTCTGTAAGAACAAAAATATCTAAATCTATTGCAGTACTATACAAAGTCAGGGAATTATTAAATGATAAAGCTCTGTACATGTTGTATAACACAATCACTGTTCCACATTTAATCTATTGCATTGATGTTTGGGGGGAAGCGTGTAAAACATTTACAAAACCTATTTTTATTTTACAGTAAAGATCTGTAAGAATCATCACCAGAAAGCATTACAGACACCCATCAAGCACATTATTTTATCAACTGAAGTTACTAAAGTTCCATGATTTGGTAGATTATAGTATTTTATCAGTTATGTATAGGGCTCAAAATAACACATTACCATTAAATATCCAAAGAAATTTTGTTGAAAGACAAAGTTGTTATAATCTTAAGGGGATAGAGATATTTGTCAAACCAAAATTCAGAACTAGTCTGAAGGGAAGGTCTACCTCAATCCAAGGAGTTGGATTGTGGAATGGTCTTGAGAGTGATGTGAAAAATGTCAAGTCAATGTGTACATTTAAGAAAAAGATCAAAACTGAATTGTTAAAAAAAATATATGAAGTAGCTTAGTGTGTTTTTGTATTAGAGTTAGAAAAATTAGAAAAAGTTATTCGTTTTGTTCTGTTACTTGAAAATTATTATGATTTAACTAATTGTTTGAAAAAAGAGGCAGATATAATAAGATATTTTCTTCTTTCTGCTGCCTTTCTTTTTAAATCTCTTGTATTTTTTTAATATAGTTTATGGAATTGTTTTGTATTTTTAAAATGAATAAACTTTATACCATACCATATATGCTTATATATTTATATATATATATATATATATATATATATATATATATATATAAGGTTTACTTGCATTCCCTATGCAATTCCAGTCCAGAAAAACACTCCTTTTTAAAACTTCAAACATTTAATATTCAAATCCTTCAACGATCGTGGACATCGGCATACAGTTCTGTTTATTTTCTTGTGGCTTCAGCCTCCTTCCTTTTATCAGAACTTCTGCTCTTTTTTTCTCTCGTTTTAAATCCCTGTTTTGGCACCAGGACTCTCTCAGATGGTCATTTTTGCGTGACAAGACGCTCGGTGTTTGACCCCCTTTTAGTCTCAGAAGTGACATAGATGCACAAATATTTTCTTCATTGCAGGACTGAGATCTAACTCGTCATCCTCGGGCTCTGCCGCAGTCCAAGAATTTAACGATCTTAAAAGCAGCACACTAAGGAGGGATGTTTGACCACTTATTTGTCGAAAGATAGCGAGTTGAATTTATTTTGAGTTTTTTACACCCCGCTGCAGTTATAAAATCTTTTTTTTCCAGTCTGTTTATCTTTTCTTCCTTTTTTTTAAGTGTCCCAGACTGTCCACTGTGACAACACGACTCAAAACTAATGAGCCAGTTTGCTGTGAGATTATTGGTTTTAACTGTTTTTTCTTCTTGTTTTTTCTCATTTTTCACAGAGGGCAGTTCAACACTTCTGCTTCCATAATCAGTGGAGCGTTTTTATTCTCAGGTAAGTCAACACAAAAACACAGAAGCAGAAAAACATTTTTTTTTATTGAGTGATGCAGATCGAACACACAGATTTTGTGATTTATTTATTAAAAACTTGAATTTTAAGGCCTATTTTGCATCAAATATGTGTTTTTGTATGCTAAAACACATTTGCGATACCAGAACTGACATGAAGCGGAGACACAGACAAGCCTAAAAATATTTTAATTTGATGGCCTAAAGATAAAAAAAATACCACCCATCATTTTTTCTTCTGCTTATCCAGATGATCTTAATCAGGCAAAAAAGATCCACAGATTTGTGATACAGCTTTTTCTGAAATTAATGTGGTGCATGTGGATTCTTCTGTCTGAAAAAATTAAAAGAAAATGTCAGAGAGTCAGAGATTCTTTGTCGTTCGCACCACATTGTCGTTCACTATTGTCGTTCGTGGTGGGACGAAATTATGTACACAGGGTCCCAGTTACATCCAACTATAAAAATGTAAAAGAAAAACAATGATAACATCTAAGATATGAACTAAGAAAAAACATCAACTAAAAATACACTAAGCACAATTAGCATAAAAACATGTCAAACAGCAGCACTAACATGAGCATGAGTCTGTGTGCCTGAAGATGCATAAGGAGACAAAAAGAGGCATAAGGAGATGAAAAGGGTCATACGGAGACAAATAGATGTATAAG